AAGGGTGCTTATGAGGAGAGAGGGATAAGAAAATATTAGAAAGATAGAGAAAAGGTGAAAGACAGAAACACAAAATAGCTTCGGGAGGACCTGGGTCAATACCTATTGACCTTTTCCCTATATTCTAAAGAGCTTTTTATAACAATGCCAAGGGGCAGGGCAAAAGACCTCCCCCTTGCTAGATCAAAGGACACCATACAGCCAAGTGTAGACCCTTCCAAACACCTGGTAACCATGCCTGTGGTCAAATCATTCCATTATGCAGCCCTGCTGGGTAAAGCAAGCTCAGATTCTCGGACCCTGAATAAGTTCTCACTAGGAAACCTCTAAGGGTCTCCACAGGTGCATATGTGATTTAGGGGCTGAATGGTTCAAATAGTTATTCAGGTTTCGAGACAACCATTTAGACATTTTGAGTATGCTGCAAGGGCAGAGTATATGGACTGTTACTGTTAAAAACATTCATCTGTGGGTGGGATGACGAGACACAGCAATGCTCAATAGAATGAGCTGATGATAGTGAAGTGATCAGAAAGAAAAAATGACAGTTTAATTTAAATAGCCATATAGGCTAGTGGATTCAGTGTGGCACAGTGAAATATCTAGAATATATTACAGAGCATAACAAGACAGAGTTTCTCAATCAGAAAATGTTTGTAATACAAAAAAGGGTGACACATTAATATTGATTACAACTCAGATGAATTTCAAAAATGATATATGCAATAATTCATGTACCTAAGGTATAGAAATTTTGTTGAGGCATGAGAAGAAAATGATGATCAAAACTAATGAACTGAAGATGACTTTTGACCCTCCTGCCTCCAACTCCTGAATTTTGGGATTATAGCTAGTGTTACAATTCCTGTTTTATGTGGTGCTGGCAATTGAACCTGGGTTTTGTGCATGCTAGGCAAATAGTCTACTGAATGAACTATATTTCCAGCCCTTTAGATACATTTTAAAAAGAAAATATTGAGCACTGAATTTTTGAATAGAACATAACACATGAATAAAGGACTAAGGCATATAGCCTTAACAGAAAGATATGGCCTCCTAAGTAGTAATTTAGCTTAAGCAGCACAATACAGTATATAATCAAGGAAGATGTAGAACCTTAATCCTAGAGTTCTGAACAAAACCCAAGACAGAATGCAGGAACTCTGTGAGAAAGCATCCTGGGCAGAACAAGCCCCGGTGGCTTCTTTAGGTCTGTGTATCTGCTTTCTGAAACCAACATATCCATACAGAGAGTCAAGAAATAAGGCCATGCATTCACAATCAACTGATTTTCAACAAAGATGGTAAGCACACTGCAGAAAGGACAGTCTTTTCAACAGGAAATCAAGGCAAAAACAGACAACTGGGATTGCATTAAACTTACTAAAAAGCTTCTAAAAAGCAAAAAGTCAATAGTGTGAACAACCTACAAATTGAGACAAACTACACATCTAATAAGGGGTTGATAGACTGCATATGAAATTTAAAAAGGTCAATAGAAACAAGTGTACAGCATACCTAAATAGATAGTTCTTAAAATATCTTACAGAAATTTAGAGTTGAATGGTGATTACTAGAGACTGGGTGAAACAGTGGGAAGTGGTGGGAAATATCTGCAAATGTCCATCACAAATACTCATGCTCAGTGGACCTGGCTCAGTTTGCTTGTCAACAAACCCATTGACTTGAGTTAGATCACTAGAACTCACATGATAGAGAAAACTGACTTCTATAAGCTGTCCTCAGACCTCCACACACATGCTGTGCCACATTCATGTGTGCGGGGACACACGGACAGACAGACAGACAGACAGACAGACACACACACACACACACACACACACACACACACACACACACACACAGGCTAGAAGGGGATATAGGATCCACTGGAGCTAGAGGTGCAGGCAGTTGTGAGCTGCTTGATCTGGTAGCTGGGAACTGAACTCACATCCTCTGCAAGAGCAGCAAGCTTCCTTTATTGATGAGTTATTTCTCTATTCTCAACTGAAAAAATCTTAGAGGAACAGGTGCAGAGAAGTTTGATGGGGGAATACCCTCAGGAGATAGAACAGCAACCATGGACTGTAGAAGCCCCAGAGTAAAAGCAACACTTTCTGCAGTCAGCATCTAGAAAAGGGGGAGGAGACCCCTTTGCATGTAAAGGAGACAGAATGACATTTAGGAAAATACTGCAAGAAATAGAAAAAAAATCCCCCTTGGAAATGCCATTCACTCTGATCTCCTGGACAATGTGTGACCAACCATACTTTGCCATCAATAGATGATAATTTTCTCAGGAGGCCATGACATGTTTCAGGTGGGTGAGGATCCTGCTGTACTTGACTGAAGAGATGTTTAATATGAAAATGATTTTCAGCCAGCTGTCTCTAGTCCATTACAGTTGTAATGTGAGTTTAATGCAACATGGCATTTACCACAGCAAACAATTACCAGCACGTGGAACAAGAAATAAGCCTGATTTCCTCCCCATCTTGCTGGGCATCATCTTCATGCTTTCTAGTCTCTTGGCCGGGAAGTACTTAAGATGATGTAATCTTTTGGTTAACTTTTCAAAACAATAATAAAGAGCTGTCCTTTCTTAGACACACACACTGTTGTAGAGTCACACTGACATGGAGCAGTCAAAGTAGGCCAACAATGGAATCTCTGTCTTTGTTCAAATGACAACATCAATGGGCATCTCTCTGGGAATTCACAGACCTGGCAAGTGGGGGTGAACTGGGCTGACTGTGAGCAAGATAAAGCAGGCTTGCTTGGTGCTTTGTTTTAGCAAAGACACCAGAAGTAGTGATTATAGTTCACTTGGGTTTTGAACTGATTTTAAAAATGTTGACAGTTAGTTAAATCACTCACTGGGTGGAATAATCACCCTGAAAGGAACTGAGAGGGTGCAACTTGTATTATAAGACGGAACCGAGCACAGTAGACACAGCACTAATGGGCGTAGTAGAAGAGATCTTTGTCAGAATAACAGAGATGATTAAAGACATGCATTAGACATCATCTCCACTGGGTACTCTCAGTGACATGAACACAACAGCTAAATTGAGCAATTACAAAGTTAAGTGTAACTTAGAGAGCATCTTTCTCCTTTAGAAAACAGTTGACATCAAGTTAGCTTAGCTTGTCTGAATCACTCAGTGGCTAGCTTCAAACTGTTTTGTCTTGTGAAACCTTTTGAGAATGGACAGACTAGAAATCTGGCATGGTATGCTACTCAAAAATTTTAAAATGTATTACACAATATTAGATCTAATATATGTGTGTGTGTGTATACATACATACACACATACATATGGCACCAAACAAGCATATCCCTTCTAAACACCACTGAGAAATATACCTGCATCAACAGGAGCCAAAAGAAACCAGGAAAAGAGGTACCTGGTTCCTTTTCAGAGCTATTTGCAGTTAGCAAAGAGGAAATTAGCTCTGACTTTTTTAGAGAGGAAGAACAAAGTGGGTCTGGGAGGGAAAAGGGATGATTTCAGTGGCTGCTTGTAACAGGACTGTGATTACGGGATTGTAGAGTGGAGTGACCTTTCCACAGACAGAACTTCATGCACACTGCTCAAATGTAGCACCAGGCCCAAACTACCCCTAACAGGGTGAGCTTCTATTTATGCAGAGTTCTGAGACTGAACATGTGTACTTTTATAAGTAGATAAGACAATATTTTAAATAAAAATACAAGTGAAAAGTATACCTTTGAAGAAAAAGTCAAAGCACATGATAAGATTCCTACCTGCACACTGCCTCTATTGCCCACCCCGCCCCCTGCTGCTCCGCACCAGCTGTGGGGATGGGCACATGATCAGCACTAGAGGGCACAAGCAATGAGCCTTCAAGGGATCTCAAAGACTGGCTGTGGGCCTGTATTTCACGGAACAATTTATCTCTGTGAATTTCATCCACTCCTTTTCCACTTCTAGGCTGCAATTGTGGTTACTCAAAAAATAAAAACTTCACAGGACACTGATAGTAAATAACTGTGTCCAAACTTTACAGTCACAATAAACATGGGCAGTTTCTTCCTAACGACTATCATCTGATTGCTAGCCCTAACATGACAGAGATGACCTCACTGCTCTCTTCCTGCCAAGAGCTTGCTTTTCCTTATTTGCGCCCATCCCTTCACTCGCACATCTAAACTGGCTTTCTTCTTTATCCGCACTAGTGTCCCTCAGCCTCTACTTTCCATCTGCAGACTTCTGAATTGAGCTTTCCAGAAAGCATTTATCCATGGCTACTGTGATGCCGCAGCACTTGCCGCTCTTGCCGAGGGCCTGAGTTCTGTTCCCAGCACCTATACGGGGGCCGACAGCCACTTATGACTCCAGTCCTAGGGGACCCCACACCTTCTTTTGGCCTCCACAGGTACTATGCACACACACTGTAAATATACACAAATGTAGGAAAATTAAATATACATGAAATAAACCTTATTTTATAGCAATTAATTAATTAATCCTGAACTTCTTAGAAATCTATAACTGCTATCTCTCATCTTTCTCTTTTCTAGAATAACTGTCATCCTTATTACCTCTATTTTCTATTTCAATCACTTCTATTATTCTTTTTTTAGATACTTTTATTAGCTTTTATCCAGTTAAAGGAAAACTGTAACCATGTACTCAGGCTCTAAGAGAAGTTGCTGGAAAGAAGACAAAAGGAATTGCTTTCTGTTCTTGAGACTTAGTATTGCCATTTTCCAGGGGGTTGTATTTCTAGGGTTTAGTATGAAGCCATATGATATGAGCCATTTTGGCTTCTCATATTCCACAGAGGGAAGCTGAGGTGAGTTCTTCCCTAGAATCTCAAAGTAAGAGAGACATAGTGTGAACAGAACTCAAACATGGCTCTGACACCCTGGAGCACGCTCCACTAGATGACAAGCACCCGCACTCATGTTCCAAGTGGAAGCATTCAGACTGGCTCTGCATCACCCAGCAGCTGCCACCCTCCTGGGCACTTACTCTGGGATGTAGAGAGGTTGGCAAAAGCTGACTTTGTTCGGCCGGCCAGCCATTCCAGGCTCTCGTGCATGTTGGCCAAGGCTTTGAGGTCACTGACATCACGGAGAATGTCTTGCGGAGGAATAAGTTTGTCACCGAGATTCCCAATTAGAACTTCAGATTCCTTGCCGAAGGCTGCCCTGAAAAACAAATCAAAGCCACACCTCACTTACTGTTTGGTAAAGGCTGGGGACAGGTTTCATTCACTTATTTTAAAAAGACTTCTGAAGCAAATAAAATATAAGCATTAATCTATGTTGTGACAGAAAATCTAGGAACAAACACAAAGTAGCACAATGCAGGGATCCTTTAACTCACTGGGTTTCCCAGAGCCTACTGTCTTCAAACATTCTTAAGGGTGTGAAAAAGTTACAACATGGTGCAATAAAAGAACTCTGGAGACCATGTCCAGACACAGCAGGGATGACATTTTGAAAAACAAACTGCTCTATTTTTACAAATCTTTTCTCCTAAGAGGGGAAAGGGTAGAGGGAGAGAGAGAGAAAGAGAGAGATGGGGAGGAGAGTGACTGCTAAAGTGAGAACAGGTGACTAGGAGTTGGTTACACATGGTGGATAAGAAGAGCTGACACCAGAGGAAGTGGAAAGAGGTGCCTGGAGCCTATTCTCAGTCCTAAGGCTTTTAATACTCAAATCACCTTAGTGAACAGATGTGAGGGCTCTATTTAAATGTAAAACCACAATTTAAGCTTTGAGTAAATAATGAGTAGTAACATAAAAAAGACTCTTAATGGACATACAGGCACTTAAAATCCAGCATCAGAACAGGTGTTCACTGTGGCAGAAAACCTGCTGTGAATTAAATACTGTTAAAGATATCTGACATTAAGCCATCACTCATGATAAACTTCATTTCAACAGAGGGTTATGTTCCTAAAAGGAAGAGTTACAGGTGATTGGCTGATTTGGGTAAGTTGTGGCTAAAGGGGCAATAAAGCACATTGGATTGTGCATATGAAATTTCAGTGTGTTAACAAGCTCTACCTGTGATCTGAGAAAAGATATTAGGGTGACTGACTCCCCAAATGACACACATCTAACTAGTTTCCAAGTGATGGTTGGGTAAAAATTGTGCTCCAGCTTCAAAGTGGGAAACCCAGGTATGAAGCAAAAGTCTGCTGCTTGCTGAAGGTGGGATGTTGGACTTCCCTGTATGATGCATCTGGTGGTAATGGTACTGACTTCTTCTGAAGTAAAGTGAGGATTAGGTGAGGTGATTTTGAAAACTTTTCATTGGGAAAATATCAGTAATCATGAAAGCAAAATGTTAACAAATTCAATGGCCATCTCCCAGTTTCACCACCAGCAACTTACAGGGAACCGTGTTTCCTCTGTCCTCATCTCCTGCCCACGAATATTTAAGTGCACAACACAATGCTTGGGATCTAATAGAAATCATAACATTTTAGTTATTATTTTTAGGGCCATTGAGAAGGCTAGTTATTTACAATCAACTCAAGGTATGTGCTGATAAATGCATTTAAGTAGGTAAGAGTGAGCAGTGGGAACTAAGTCTCACGGGGTAATATTACAAATGGAACTTTCTAGCACTACAGTTACTCTAGAGGTGAATTACTGTGATAAAAATCCCTGGTCCCCTACCTAGTGCTCATTATTCTAGTCTGACCTGGTAAAAGGCCCTTCATATTACTGTAGTTGAAAGTGTGCCCAATGTCAAAACAATGAAACAAGCAATCTCACTAAATTTCACTGTCCACTTGCAAATGTGGTACTGAGTGCTATGTGATATGAATTTGGAGCTGTGTAGGAGACAGCTCTCTGGAGTAATCATGGTGGATCAGGACTAATTTTGCCCACTTCCTTTCTGGCATGTAGCCATAACACCTGAGCTACAGTGGCTCTTCTCAAATATCAGGAGACCTTGAGAGTAGAAGTCAATACTAAGAATGATGGAGCCTAGAGGTAAGATGGTTCAAGCATACTGTGACATCACAGGTACCACACTTCAGCCCCAGACAATATGCTCTGGGCTTCATGTCAGAGAAGAGAAAATAAAGGCTGTTATTTCTACTTTGCTAGTAGCTGCTAAATGCAATTTTTAACTGACACAATCATCTAATTAGCATAAGTGAGGCTATCCTCAGAAAACTTCCTCTGAATTTTGCTGTCCCTAAAATCCAGTTACTGGGAAAAGCAAAACTAAGTCTCCTTCATGATGTGAGGCCAGAAAACATCTATAATGTCTTCCCTTGGGCCAGGTTGCAAAATTTACTTTTCTTAATATGTCCTTATAAATCAACTTTTCCAATCCCTTAATCATCTTTGATAGATATAACACAAAAAATGTCTCTGAGCTGGGTGGTTAAAAAGCAACAGGGGAGGCAAAGGGCTTTGAAAGCCAGGCTTGGAGCCATTTTTATGCATGTGGGTCTAACTCTGGGTGGAATGTGACAATCAAGACAAGTGTATTTATGCAGAAGTCTAATCCATGTGTGCAGGTCTATGGGCCCCAGGCATGTCTGTGTGTGTTTCCAGCAGTGGACGCTGGTCCTCTTCCCTCTGGATCACTGAGATTTGCTTAACCTCCTCAGACAGGAGAGCAATAGACTTAGAAAAATACAAACTGCCTCATGTTGAATACATAGTAGATACCTCATTTGACAGGAATCCGTAATCACCCCCTAACAACCTCGAAGACGCATAGAAACTATGACATGGAGAATAACTGATTGACAGCTATAACCATTTCACATACAAAATCATTCCTTTGAGGATTTGTGTACGTGTGAAAGAGCATGCTGGAAGGTTTTTGTGTGTTACAATAACCTTAGAGTAATGGCTAAAGTTGCCTGACTGCAGATTCCTTTTCTAAACTCTCTGATTTATTAAATTGTACCATATCTACACTATGGAGTCATTAGAAATTATTCAGTGGAGAACTCTTAATATCACAGAAAATGTTTGGTGTAGCTTATTTTTATGGATGATATGCAGTTGGGTCAACCAAAACTATTATTACATTGTGCACACAGTGTAATCTAGGAATCCCAGGAAAGGAGGCAGGAGGACACAAGATTCACAGACACTAGAACAAAATCAGGAGGAGGGTGGAAGAGGCCCTCCCTCATCACTGTGCAGAGATGATATGATGTATAGCCAGGGACAGGAAGGAGAACTCACAACTTCTACGTTCAAAGAACTGATCTCTGGAAGAGCCCCCTTCATAGCCAGCTGGCCAACAAGCTCACACCATCCATGAAACTGAAGAAGCATGGTAAGCCTCTTAAGCTTAAATTTTACCACACTTTTTTTTTTAAATCGTTAAAGACCTTGATCTGACAAGGATTCATTTAAGAGAATTTTGCCATGAGTGTTAAATCTGTTTAACTTAATTTTAACACACAATTATACTCTTTAAAGAAGTCTATCTGACAAGAATTCATTTCAAAGAATTTTGCAAAGGATGCACAAAATTGTCTCCATTTAGAACTTAAATAATTCTGTTATCTACTGAAAGGAAGAGGAAAAAAATCTGCATTTTCAGCAGGCTACATGGAATTATGAAAGAAACATCATAAACGGTTTCAAAAGTGATTGATTTGAAGATCTGGGCTGTGTCAGACATGGCACACATTCGTTTCTGTCTCTTTCCCTGTGGCTGTTCCCTAATCTTTTACTGCTGTTACCTAGGGCTGAGCTCAGCTTTGAGGTCCTACAGATCCTGGAGCACGCTGCCTGAAGAGCAAGCACCACTGCCTCAAAATATGAACAGGGAAGGGCAAAGACCCATGCTCGTGGCTATGCAGATCAACTCCTTCCTTCCTTCCTGGTCTGCCAGGTCCATATGGAGCAGGCACCTGGGGCATGAGGTTGCCTTCCTTGCCTGAAAGATTTATCCTAGTCCCTCTGTTATGTCTACTTAGGGTCTTATTCATAGTCACAGTATCTTGTTTAACAATGCTGCTGACCAAGAATGTAACAGTACAGACTCCTGGTCTTCCCTTCTCCAACCATACAGTCACAATCATCCAGACGGAGCTAGCAAGCAGCAAGATGGCCTGGGCAGAATTCAGCTCTTATCAAATGGAAAAATACTTATAATGCTGGTGTGCTGGAATACCTGACTCAAAGACCAATCACATTATATCCCTTACTAACAAGAAAAGGTGAGTCTGGGGATTTGGGATTAAAAGTAGAAAGGATCCCTTCTCTCATTAGACTATTACTCAGGGAACTTTTGCTCTTTCGCCTTCAGCTTTGGGCTAAGGCAGCCTGGTAGTACCCAGGAAGGAATGCTTCGGCTGGAAGACATGGTGGCTGCATTAGCTGGAAGGAGAGCTTGCCATCGGGCTGCTTTGAACTTCTCATATATTCACAGTAAACAGCATGGTAAAGTAATAATATCCAGACAAAGGCAGGTTCATTAGGAATTCAGGTCTTTAAGGAAAAGGCTAGAAAAAAAAACAGGAGAGAGATCTGGCCAACTGAGGCACTGGCAACAGGCAAGGGCAATATGGAGCAGGCGGCTGCAGTATAGGATCCTTACTCCTGCTGTCTCGCTTTCAGGATAGAAAGACAACCACAACAACTCTGCATGGCAGGACAGGTAGCAACCATGATTGTTTGTGCTTTTACTTCATTTACTATTTTATTACTGTTGAATATATGGACAAGGGTTCCAGTCTCCTCACAGCCTTGCTAAACTAGCTACTTCATGATTTTTGTTTCTTTGTTTTTAAATAATAATCATCCTTATGGGTGTGGCAGAGGGTTGTAAAGACCCCATACTTGAAATGAATGTAATGACTCAAGACACTAACCAGGGCAATGCCGGAGAGCTCACCCTGGTGGTGAAGATGGGAGACAGCTGGAGGGCTGACCAACCTTGCAATTATCAATCCCAGAATCAACATTCACCCCATCTACGATCTGCTGAAGCACGTGAAGGGACCAGTTCTGCAGTCCCAAAGTTGAAAGAGCTCCATGGCACAGGGCAACAATAGGATAGCCAAGAGGAGTCCCAGTGAGGGCCCAGCATCGATAGTATAGCAAAAACCAGAGGCCTCAAAGCAGACCAATGACTCTTTGCAATGAACACTTGCAAGTGAAGATATATGGATAAAAGGGTTTACTGTGTGACTCAGTGTGCCATACTATAG